CGAGATATATATATGCGCGCGCATGTGTGTGTGTGTGTGTGGGTGTGGGAGAGCGCGCGCGCGCTCTCTCTATATATATACATATATATATATATATATATATCTAGATATATACACACTCACACTGTGAGAGAGCGCGAGCGCGCGCGCGCGCGCGTGTGTTGTGTGTCTGCACATATATATATATATATATATATATATATATATATATATATATATATATATATATATATATTCAATTTATTGTTTATTTTGTAATTTTTTAAAAATATTTTTTAATAATAATAAAATTATAATTAAAAAAGTATTTAAAAAAACAATAAAATGAGCTTGGGCTCGAGCTTGAGTTCGAACTCGACAAAGTGGACAGGAGTTAGAGGTCGAGCAAAAAAGAAGGAACTCGACGAGCTCGAGCTCGAGCTCAATAAAATAGACTCAAGCTCGAGCCTGCCAACAGAGGCAAGCTCGGCTCGATCTCAGCTCGTTCACGCCCTTATGTATGTGCATATGTAATTTTCTGAGGCCCTTCGCGGAAGGCCAAATACACAAAAAATGTAAAGGAGGCCGGAAATAAATAGTATTATACTATTCAAAAAATAACAAATTTCAGAATACTAGTTTGTTGAAAAAAAAAACTAAAAAATAGGACCATGGGTAGCCGCCACATATGTACTGGCCTGATCATTGCATAAAATTATTAAATTACAGGAAAATTGACAAAAACTCTATCAAAAATGTTTTGTATAGATAAGAGTCTGTATAAATATTTTAGGCTCTCAATTAAACTGAAAATAGACAACTTAGTTAGAACAATTTCGAATGAAAATAAAAGATTGGTTGGAGAATTTGGATTTAATATTGACATTTTTGTTGAATATAACATTTTTTCTAATGATGTTATGGCGTAAATCAGGCGGTCGACAGCATGTGACTGATAGATAGAGGCAGAAGGGTGGAAGAAACTTTTTTTTTTTTTTTTTGTCCATGTGTTTTTTAGAATGAATGAGTTGGGAGATAATAAGGTATTTTCAGTATAAAATAATTATTTTATGTCTAAACTCTCTAACTAAGGTACCCAATGGATTTTTAGCAGAATGCGAAAATATGATTATTCTAGTTTGAAAAGGTACTATTACTTTGCAACGTGCGTTGCACGCGCGAATATTAAAAAAGATTCAACTGAATATAGGTAAACAAATGAAAATAATATTAATAAATACTTTGACATGTTCTAAACCTTAATAACAGAATAACGAAAATGTAAAAATTCCACAAATCACAATCATAATATATACATCTATTTTAGTAATAAAATACGTCTATATACTGAGAAGAAAAAAAAATTAACTACTATTCCTTGCGGCCTTAGAATTTTAACAATAAACGTATAACCTACGAACGAAAAAATTAGTGTATATGTATATATGAGGATAATTTTTGGATAAAATTAAGCACAAATATTAAACACAAATATTGCATAAAGCAGCGGATGATTTGTTTTGATGGACATTGTTGTTGATTTTTTTTTATTTATTTTTTTGATTAAGTTGTTGATTTTACTTCTTATGAAACCATATGAAAATTACATAAAATCCTCCATTGGATTGTTAAACAAAATTTTATAACGTAAGTATATGCAAGACATAATTTCCAATTTGGTATAAACTATAAAGGAATCAACATAGAATTAGGCATTCCATGATTTACGTTACCTCATTCCAGATCTTTCTCCTTGTAAATTGATTCACAATTAATTTGATTTATTTCCTTAGGTAGTCTCATCCTTGTATTATATAAGACAAATTATAATGAGAATGCAAATACAAGTTTTCTTCACCAATTGTTTGACCAACTCTTATTTGGTATTAGTAGGTTTTTCTCTTACGAGAATAACGATCCTCTTTTTTCGGGAAAATGTCTACAACCACCGGCTCTTCTTCTGACTTGCCTCTCATTACCATTAACACCTCAAGCCAACTTCCCGTCGAACTTACAGCATCAAATTACCCTTCTTGGCATGCAATATTCACAACCATCTTATTTGGTTATGATCTCATGGGATACTTTGATCGAACCCTTCCGTGTCCTTCCACAGCCACTGAGAAGTCCTCCGCTGCTGATTTGGCTCATTATGCACACTGGTATAGACAAGACCAGTTGCTACTTAATGCCATCTTCTCATCTGTTTCTGAAACCGTGATGCCTCTCATCGCAATGACCACTATCAGTCGTGATGCTTGGCAACATCTAGCCCGTTTGTTTGCAAGCAAATCTCAGGCTCGGATTATGCAGTTGAAGGAAGATCTAACCCTTATTCAACGGGGTTCTCGCACGGTGTCTGGATTTCTTCACGTAGTCAAGGTGACTGCCGATGAACTTTTTCTTATTGATGCACCAGTTTCCGATGATGATTTGACACTTTACGTGCTTAATGGTCTTGGTTCGGACTTTAGAGATATAGTCGCACCCATTCGCACCCGCGAAACTTCTCTCTCTTTTGCTGAATTGCATAATCTGCTCATTGGTCATGAAAATTACGTCAAACGAATGGAGAACAAGGCTTCCGCTCTTGTTGTTACGGCAAATTCTTCTCAACGGAAACCATCTATATTCGTTTCCAGAACAACAGATCTCGCTCTAAACAAGGTTTCACCAACAAATCTGGACCAAGGAAATCACCTGTTGTTTGTCAAATATGTGACAAGCCTGGACACACTGCAAAAACATGTTTCAAACTTCAGTCCCATCCCGCTGCAAATTGTTCTACCTCGACAACACCATCAAATGGCAAATGGCTTCTTGATTCAGCGGTTTCTCACAACATTACGTCTGACTTGGCAAATCTCTCTATTCATTCCGAATACGAGGGACAAGATGAGGTGGTTCTTGGAGATGGTACAGGTTTAAAAATTGCTCACATTGGTTCCACAACCCTTCCTTCTTCATCTCACACTCTTACATTAAAAGAAACATTACATGTGCCGCTTATTCACAAAAATCTAATTTATGTTCATAAATTTACCCTTGATAACAATGTTATCATTGAGTTTCACCCTTTATTTTACCTTGTGAAGGCTCGGAGGACGGGGGCAATGCTCATGCGCGGTAGGTGTGAAAATGGTATATATCCTGTAGCTTTTCCATCCTCATCACCTCAAGCAAATCAAATTCACTTAGTTGGAACTCGGGTAACTTTTGACCTCTGGCATCATCGGTTGGGGCATCCATCTCAAAAGATTTTGTCGTCATTACTTCGAAGTCATGCCTTACCTGTTGTTTCTTCCAAGTCTACATTATCTTGTATTTCTTGTCAATGCAATAAATCACATAAACTGATGTGATCACATCATAAACTACCTTTCAGTTCAACTTTTCTTAAGAGTACTGCTCCTTTCGAATTTTTATATGCGGATGTGTGGGGACCCTCACCTGTTTCTTCTATTGATGGCTACAAATACTATCTTTTACTCGTTGATCAGTTCACAGAGTATTGTTGGCTTTATCCCTTTCACCACAAACCCGACGTTTACTCCATATTTGTCAAATTTACCAACATAGTCGAAAATCAGTTTTTGTGCAAAATAAGAAACTTGTTTTCCGATAATGGTGGCGAATTTATTAAACTTCGGTCCTTTCTCACTAGCCGTGGTATCAGCCATTACACCACCGCCCCACACACACCTCAACAAAATGGTACAGTTGAGCGTCGTCATCGTCACATTGTTGAAATAGGGATGACGCTTCTCCATCATGTCTCGGTCCCTTCTATTTACTGGACGTATGCTCTAACCACTGCGGTGTACCTCATCAATCGTCTCCCCACTCCTTTGCTCGCACGAAAAAGCCCTTTTGAAGCACTCTTTAATCGTACCCCCGATTATCACAAGTTGCAGACTTTTGGCTGTCAATGTTACCCTTGGCTTGTTCCTTACCGAGCAAACAAGCTCCAACCAAAGTCTCAACCTTGTGTTTTCCTCGGGTACTCACTTACTCAATATGCTTTCAAATGTTTGGATCTTCAAACGGGTAAATTATATCTTTCACGACACGTTACTTTTGATGAACACTTGTTTCTCTTAAAAAATAAACCTGATCAAGTCAAAGTAATAGCTCCTACTCCTTCCCCTATGAATGCCACATTGCCTTTTCCAGTGCCTTCTGTTCGCCTTGGTTCTTCGGATGGCTCCACTAACACACCTATTGTGCATGACACTCCTATCACCATCACTCCGATTTGAGATCCAGGTACGACTGCTCCTTGTACTTCTCAATCTTTACCTACAATTGAGCATTCTTTACTGGCAATTCCTACACCTGTAGCCACTCAGCGAACTCACCAAATGATAACTAGAGCTCGAAATAATATTTTTTGCCCGAAACAATTATCCGTAACCACTAAGTATCCTCTTGCATCACCTTTGGAACCAACATGTGCCTCTCAAGCACTTAAGGACTCCAATGCATCACCTTTGGAACCAACATGTGCCTCTCAAGCACTTAAGGACTCCAAATGGCGCAAAGCTATGGCCGATGAGTTTACGGCCTTGGTTTCCCATGACACGTGTAAACTTGTTCCAAAACCACCAGGTTGTAATATTGTTGGCTGCAAGTGGGTCTTCCGTGTTAAACGTTACCCAGATGGTACTGTGGACAGATTCAAGGCAAGTCTCGTCGCAAAAGGGTTCAATCAACGCCCCGGTGTGGACTACACCGAAACTTTCAGCCCGGTAATAACACCCACTACCATTCGGCTAATCTTATCTTTGGTTCTCTCAAATGGTTGGTCGCTCCACCAAATCGATGTAAATAATGCATTTTTGCATGGCCAGCTTACTGAGCAAGTCTTTATGCAACAACCAATAGGCTTTGTTGATTCTTCTCATCCTCAGTATGTTTGTGCTCTTCAAAAATCTATGTATGGTCTTAAACAGGCGCCAAGAGCTTGGTACAATGCATTACGGTCCGGTTTATTAGAATTGGGATTTTTCAATTCAAAGTCAGACCATTCACTGTTTATCTACAATCGTGACGGCATTCTCTTCTATATTTTGGTCTATGTTGATGACTTGATCCTAACAGGAAACAACACTCAGTTCTTGCAAAAGGTTGTGAAGTCGTTGGGTGTCAAATTTTCCCTAAAAGAATTGAGTGATTTGCATTACTTTCTCGGAGTAGAAGTGATACCGGTAAAGCAAGGTTTGTTTCTCTCTCAAAATCGATATGTTCATGATCTCCTTAGCAGATTGAAGATGGCAGGAGTGAAAGAGGTTCACACACCTATGTAGGTAACCACCAAACTACTTCTTAATGACGGCACTCCAAGCTGTGATGCCACTGAATATCGTCGGACCATTGGATCTCTTCAGTATTTGTCTCTTACACGCCCAGACATTGGATTTGCTGTCAACCTTCTTGCTCAATTCATGCATCAGCCTACGGTTTCCCATTGGCAGCAAGTTAAAAGGCTCTTACGTTATGTGAAACATACCATTCATTTTGGTCTTCTTTTGCGACGACAAATTAATCCAATCCTTCGTGGTTTGTCCGATGCCGATTGGGGAGGTAATCTAGACGACCGCAAGTCAACTACTGCGCATATTATATTTTTGGGTAACAATCGGATTAGTTTGCGCACTCGTAAGCAAAAAGGTGTTGCACGTTCATCCACCGAAGCGGAGTATCGAGCTCTTGCCACTGCTGCCTCTGACATGGCTTGGATTAAATCTTTTCTAAATAAACTTGGTATCAAGCTTCATGAGACTCCGTTGTTGCTTTGTGATAATGTTGGGTCCACTCAACTAAGTCTCAACCCAGTCATGCACTCCAGGATGAAACATATAGCCATTGATCTTCACTTTGTTCGGGATTTTGTTAAACGAGGTCGTTTGAGTGTAGCACATGAACATACAGATGATCAACTTGCAGACTTACTTACCAAGCCCCTTGCACGTTCTCGATTTCAAAAGTTGCGTAGTAAAATTAATGTTGCTGATGGAACATTAATTTTGAGGGGTTGTATAAAGGAATCAACATAGAATCAGGCATTTCATGATTTACGTACGTTATCTCATTCCAGATCTTTCTCCTTGTAAATTGATTCACAATCAATTTGATTTATTTCCTTAGATAGTCTCATCCTTGTATTATATAAGACAAATTATAATGAGAATGCAAATACAAGTTTTCTCCACCAATTGTTTGACCAACTCTTATATAAACAAAGATGTTGTTTAGAGGACATAAAGAAAACAATATCAGAAAATAGTCAGCATACCAAATGTCAATAATTTAATTTTATACACTATAAGTGGTACGTGTTGCATTTTCACATACAACCTGCACATAATATAAAAAAAAAAGATAAACAAAGACTTTATAAAGAATGCTAAGAAAATAAAGAACAAAAAACATAATTGAATTGTTGACAAAGACAAAAATATATAATTTCTTACGCTGAAGATAATTGATGTGATGAAAGAGATGAAAAAACAAATAATAATAATAATAATAATAATAATAATAATAATAATAATAATAATAATAATAATAATAATAATAATAATAATAATAATAATAATAATAATAATAATAATAATAATAATAATAATAATAATATAAAATGTCGTTCGAGCTTTAATAATACCATTTCGACTTCAAACATGATTTTGATCATTTTTAATTCCAAATTTTGCAAAACCTGAAAAATATAATTTGTAATATTCTAAGTTAGTTTTCTAATCCAATTTGAATCACCAAAATTGGATGTCGGACGAGAAATATATACATGAATCAATAGATATTGCCCACAACTTTGATGTATTGAGGTTTCTAAATTTCAAAATGTGACTCATTCATCCATAATTTTGTCACACGGCATCCAATCAAGCGGATTTAAGTAGGATTAGAAAGCTAACCCAAAGGACTACACTTTTCGTGTTTCGAATTTTGCCAAAATGAAAATAGAAATATGTCAAAATCAGGTTTGAAGTCAGAACGACATTAGTAAAATTAAAACGACATTGAACATTTCAATAATAATAATCTCTATAAAGCGATAGTGTTCTTAGTATTCTTGGATGTTCTTGGTAACATATTTACATGGGAAAATTTATGAGGGATGAGATTGAGAAATCCTTGAAAAAACTTTGTACAGACAATGGGGCAATTAAGAAAATAAGTTGAAGATTATGTTTAGCGGAAAACAAAAAAAAACACAAAAAAAAAATTCACAGATCGTATTTAGTGGGGAATGAAAAAAAGAAGAAAAGAAGAAAAAAATAATTATAAAACGTGTGCTATAAAAAAAGGAGAGAAAAGTTAGTGCTGGAAGGGGAAAAAAGAAGAAAAAAAGAAAAAAAGAACGTATAATTAGAAAATAACGTGAAATTTTTTTTTTTTAAGTTGATCGTATTTAGTGCGGAAGGAAAAAAGAGAAGAAGAAAAAAAAGTACAAAAATGTGCACTATAAAAAAAGAGAGAAAGTTAGTGCTGGAAGGGAAAAAAAGAAGAACAAAAAAGAAAATCATTAAAAAAAAATAAACAAACGTGTTGTATAAAAAAAAGAAGAAGAAACAAATAAGTTTGTGTGCGCTATAAAAGATGAGAAAAGAAAAGGAAAAAAAAACTAACGTGTAATTTAAAATCCATCCAAATGACGAAAAAATACAAAATAATTAAAAAGGGAAAAAGAAACAAATAAGGTTGAATGTATTATAAAAAAGGGGCCTTAAGATATAGGTCATTATCATGCTTGTATAGTTATCTATAGTTACCGTAGTCATTATCATGCTTGTAGGCATATAAAACTGGAGTTTTACTTCTTCGCACATTGTCTAGCCATCATCTGGCTATTCATATATGGATATTCATATACAGTGCATCAACTTGTAGTATACTACGGTGAACTGTGGTATACTATGCAGTACTATAGTATACTACGGTGTACTATTCCAAACCCTAGCCGCCAACAACTCTTAGCCGTCGCCAACCCTAGCAATCGACGCAGCCGCCGTCAAACCCTAGCAGCCGACAACTGCGGCCGCCGGCACCCATAATCACTTACCATCTTTTGAAAAACCTAGATCTTGAATTTTGAACCTTAACGTGTGCCGCCACGCAATCGTTACCCTAAAAACGTTCTCAATAACCGGTAACAAATCGAATAAAAATAGCAAATCATATCCTAACGAAGCCAAAATTCTTAAAAAATCAATAAAAACATGTACAATTAGTCAACATATACTTTTAATCACAGATCTATACAAAAAAATGAAAAAAAAAAAAGAAAAAAAGAAAAAAAAAAAAGAAAAGAAAAACCTGTTTCTCGGCCATACAATACCCCGCCGCTGCCGTCTCCACCACTTCCTCCGTCGCTCCACTCATGCTCTCTCGGTCGCCGAACTTTGTGCTTGATGGAGAAGCAAGATAGAGATGTAAGAGAAAAAGAGAGAGGAGAGAGATCGATACAAAGAAGACGAGAGGAAAAAGCGAGAGAGAAGATGGAAGAAGAGAAATAAATCTGAGATGAGAAACGTGGTATATGTAAGTTATAATATTTAATTAAGGTATAAGGGCAAGATAGGGATTAAAAAAAAGTTAGGGATGTGAGTCATATATTATTTCAAATTAAGGATTTAATTAAAAGATTGAATTTAGACTTGTCATTTAGTTCAAATTAGGTTTGATTTGAGGGACTCATAGCATATTACCCCTATAAAAAAAACAGAAAATAAAGTAAACAAATTTTTTTTTAGAAAAACTGTTTTTAGGGTTTCGGGATTAAACCTTTTTTTTTCATATACAAAAATTAGTGCTGGGATTGCATAACAAACTTTCAGTTTAATTAAAGGGGTTTTTGTGCATAAGTCACCAACTAAACATTTTTATTATTCTAGGTTTATGGGCTATATCTCTTTCACCAATAAGCTCATTCCTTTAATATTTATTATAAATAAAGGAAACATTCATGTATATGCCAATATTACCCCCAACCATTTATACTCAATTCTTAATTTTAACCCCAATTTAATCAATTTGTCCACAAAAATCCAATTTTGACCACAAAAATTCAATTTTGACTCTTTTTTTTCAAAAACTTTTTTTTTTCAAATTTTTTTTTGCCGCCGGATTCCGGCATTAGCCTTTCGATATTTTTTTTTTCTTCCGGATTTTTTCGCCGGTTTCCGGCGTTGACTTTTTTTAGTGTTTTTTTAAGTTTTTTTTTGTTTGTTTTTTTTTTTACGTCCGCCGCTAAACGTTGATCGTAATTGTGCTGTCACTGACAATATAACGTAATTATACTGTCAATGACAGTTAATTAACGTAATTGTACTGCCGTTGACAATACATTTATGTAATTGTTCTGTCGTCGACAGTAAATTAACGTAATATTATTATTTTCTTTATGTTATTTTTTATTTTTTTTGAGTTGTTGACAAGTCAACGTAATTATATTACTGTCGTTGACAGTAAAATAACTGTAAACACAATAATATTACTATCAACAACATCAATCTTATTATTTTTTTGGTTTTTTATTTTGTTTGAGTTATT